TGCATCTTTCTCCTCCGATGCATCCTCTGGTGGGGCGGTGATGCGAGCACAGTCCGGCGATCTCATTTTTTCTCTTCATTTCCGAATCTCAGCCGGATCCGTTGCTGAGGCGGAGCTCTTGGCCTTTTACACTGCGATTTCCTGGTCTATTGCTCATGGCTACAGGGACTTTCAAGCAGAGTCGGATTCCAGAAATACTATTGATATGGTTGAAGGAAGAATGCTTGCTGGTCGATGGAGAAAACTCACGGAGGAGTTGAATATGTGGAAGATTGGTTTTGGTCTGAATTTTTATCATGTTTATCGTGAAGCAAACAGACCGGCAGATTTGATGTCCAGGTGCTTTCCTGCTGCAGATGAGTTCACTGTCCTATTTCGACCTATTCAGCTTCCGGGTGTTATAAGACGGGCCTTAATTGCGGATAAATTGGGACTTGCCTTTCTTAGATATTTTATGTAAAACTTGGTCTCAGTTTTTTCAGATTCTACTAAATTTTTAGCTTGTAATTTTTGGGAGGTTTTGGTTTGGTCCCCCTCTTGTTGTATTTATTCATCACTCAATAAAATAACGGCAACTGACTCCCGGCATTTGCCCCACTGATTTTGGTGGTTTGCCTTCCGGGTTAAAAAAAAAAAATCTCAATATGAGAAAAGGGTCAAATAAGGCCTTCTACTATTATGAAATAGTCACATAAGACCACGTACTCAATAAAGTGTCATATAAGTACCTCTACTTGTAAAAAGCAATCAAATAGGTCCTAATGACCTATTTAACACCTCTTAATACCATTTTTTGCGTACTTGTGACCATCTTTTTGGAATAGATTATACGACATACGTCGAATATTTAACTAAGATTGGTTGAAATACAAGTCAAAAAAATCGACATGTAATCTAAAACCGGGATTAGAAGGTTGTAAATAGATCGTTAGGACTTATTTAATTGTTTTTTACAAGTAGAGGTACTTATATGACACTTTATTAAGTACATGGCCTTATGTGACTATTTCATAATAGTAAAAGGCCTTATTTGACCCTTTTCTCAATATATATTATAGTAATTAGTCTAAATATATGACTAAAAGTTACTCAAAGTGAATAAAAATTCATCAAATAGGAGCCATTATATTGAGAATTATTTTAGGAGAAAATAATGGTTATTCTATTTGTGCACTTTATGAATGTTTTTGTCCTATTTAGGGAATTTACTCTATATATTACCCTCTATTAGTAAAAACATATAAAAACCCGATTTCGAAAATTTTCAATGAGATAAACTCAATAATTTTTTTAAAAATAATTTATCAATATATTGATAAATAAAGTATAGTCAAAGTAGAAGATTTGAATAATTTAAAATTAAGTATTGATCATCGTATGTACTTAACTTAATGAGAAAATTCATAAATAAATACAGAGTAGTACGTATGTCCCATGCATATATCTCGATCTTCTCTTATATATGCATTTTGATGATTCCCTTCAAATCACGCGCGTGTACCCTTCGATCTTTGGTTAGTTTGGACCGTTTGGTCATGAACTTTGGACCTGTTTACTTTGTTGTTAACTTTGCTGCTAACTTAGTAAGACGTCTTAAATAAACAATTTTTATGGCTAATTCCCTGCTTGGTAAGCACAACTGCGGCACAAGAGCCTCTTACTCGGCCATGTTTTTACTTTTTAGTTACACAGCCTGGGTCGGGGACGCGAGTGGCGCTGGAATCGCTGTCAAACACCCCACCTTTGGTGCTAGCCTATGTTGCACGGAAACGCGAAAATCAAGAGGAAACGGGAAACGGGAAACGGGAAACGTCAACTTTTGCTCAAAAAAGGCTTATTTGGAGAGTTTTCAAAGAGTTCTCGAGACTCGAGAGTTTCCGAAACGGGAAACGCACTCTTTCCCGAGAGTTTCCGTGTTACATAGGTGCTAGCAACCAAAATAAAGTAAATAAAGCTAACAAGCACTTGGAAAATGCTACTAAACGCTTGAATTCCTAGCACCAAAGCATGATAATTTTTGCTCGCTACACAAACCGCTGTTAAAGCACATGCCCTGCACACAGACACATGTACAAATTCTTGTTGGATTGGATTACAACAGGAAATATCTATATATAAACAAATTTTAAGTAGATCAAATTATATATTAAAGATAGGGTGCAAAGTCTAAAAGTTTTGAAAATGGAGTGCAAAGTCCAATATTATCCAAAAAGTGGGGTGCAAACTCAAAATTCCCCGTCAAAATATGTATTTATAAGAAAACAAATACCTCTAGACTCTAGTATTATCATTTGTATACAAACTTTTCAAAATAAGTATGTATAATTATTTTTTGTTTATTATACGATAGTACTATAATTAAAGAAAAGTGTGCAAATATATCCTTGATGTTTAGCTCCAGCCTCCCGGTCTAAATATACCCCTAAAGTTTTTTAAGGCGTAAAAATATTCCTAAGGTTCATTTTAAGGAATAAATTTATCCTTATTGGATTTATATAAAAATATATATTTAAAAGACCCAAAAATAAATTAATGAATATATGGAGTATTGAGTTTGGAGATTAAAATTAGGGGTGGGATCGGTCAGGTCTGGATCGGGTTTTTGCTAAACCCGAAAATTACCCAGAAGATCTCGGGCTATGAAAATTAGGGACCGGAACAAAGCCCGTTATATTCGATCCGAGTCTGGTTTTTGGTAGCCTGGGTTCAGTCCGGGTTAGGGTTGGGTCGGTTAAAGCCCGAACTTGAAATATCTCATTGTTCTTTTATATTTTAACAGTTGTTTTCAAACAAAATTAATCAAAAATACAAATCGCAAATAATAACACAAATATTAGTCTCCAAAATCACCAACAATTCAAATCCAAAGAAGATAATTATCTTAATATTTTATTTAAGATGCATGTAAATAAATAATATAGTTTTCTTAAAAATATTACGAAATAAAATTTATAGATAAAATGTGACTAGAGTTGCTGTAAATATATTTTCATGGACATTACGCTAAACAAATTGAACATATTTGTAGTCACTAAAAGTTGCTAAATCAATTTTTTATGCACCGTGATTATAATCATGTATTAGGAAATATTTATAAATTTATGTTCATATATTATATCAATTTTATATTAAAGCTAATTGTTTCGGGTATTTATTGGTCCGGATCGGGTTATAGATTTTAAGGCCCGTAAATGAGCCTGGAATTTCGGGTTCGGTCCGTTTTTTTTTAATTCGGGCCGGTTAAAAAGAAAAAACCCGGACCGGGATCATAATTTGGGTCAGTCCAAAGTCGGTTTCCGGGTTTCATTTCGGTGTTAACCATCCCTAATTAAAATTATTGTCAGAAAATAATGCTTCTTTTATTATTTTATCAATTTGATATTGTTAAAATAAAAGAAGTACTATCGTATTTAAAATTGTCAGATATAATTATGGTTGTTGCCGCGAAGTAATAAAACCGTGTTGGAAATTTAAATATTTAGAAAGTCATTTGGGTTTTTTACTTGAATAATATTAATTTAGAACCAATTACCCAAAGAGTGTCCACTTTTAAAAAGGGGCAAAAAAGTGATTAAGAAGATCATATATGTGGGATTAGAAAACATGATGTCACTGCAAAAATTTTATGTCACTGTGTTCGCTTTTTTTGTAACTACGACCACCACCCGTGTCACTGTAGCCACCGCCCGTGTCACTGTAGCCACCGCCCGTGTCACTGTAGCCACCGCCCGTGTCACTGTAGCCACCGCCCGTGTCACTGTAGCCACCGCCCGTGTCACTCTAGCCACCGTCCGTGTCACTATGATAGTTTCGTTTAGTGACGCGGCCCACATTAGTCGATGACCAACACCATAGCTGGCCGCCACAACGACGGTTGTCCCTGCAACACCCCACCTGCCCTGCCCCACCACCATCACCACAATCCCGAACCCTAGCCCCTAAACCACCATCCCTACCCCTCCCCGTCCTCACCCCGAGCACCCCCAGCTCTCTGTCCTGCCCTGCCACCAGCCCCTCCCTAGCCACTGCCAAACACCACCCCGCCCCTTCCCTGCAAAGCGCTGCATCACCACCATGCCACCGCTACTTGTCACAACCCTAGCTGCCAACTTCAGATCTGAAACCCAACCGAACCCATAGCATACCGTCAATAACAGATCTGGCCACCGCCGTCAAGGACAGATGTAACCACCGCCAAGGCCACGCAACCATGACATCCCAAATCAGAACATGGCCGACGACGATGGTGGCGAGTTGTGAATGGACGGCTTGGAGACGGTTGCGAGGCGACAATGATGGTGGCGAGTTGCGAATGGACGACTTGGAGACGGTGGCGACACGATGACGATGGCCGCGCGATGGTGGCCGCACGATGGCGACGGCTGGCCACTGGAGACATCGTGTTGGTAGAGGCGCCGATCTGGGAGAAGAAGACGACGATTGGGGGCATAGGAGTACGATTATCGAAGATCGAGAGCAGAGGAGGACGATTCTCATCCGAGCAAAGGTAGCGTGTAAGGAAGATAATAGGGAGAACTGACCGATGTTTTACTCACTTTTTTGTCAAATTGAAATATGGTCATAATTTTATCCATATAAAGTGCGTGACTAATACTCTGGCCATTATTTCAAGTCATTTTGTGTTCAACGCTTCCTCAACTTTAATGCTAACAATACTAAATTTGGATATAAAAATAACAAAAAGAGTTGAATACAAAATGATTTTTCAACCGGAAAATAAACTTTATGGAAATAAATGGGGAGATATATTGTTTGAAAGTGAAATCCCAAGTCCCAACCACCCAGCTGCGTGTCTCCCCGTTTTGTCCTAAGCCCTTTTTTAGTATGAAAAATACGATTATCTTATATCATACTCTCCGTCCCTTAAAAGTTAAAACTTTGTCAAGTTTGATCGGCACAAGGATTAATACAGTAAAAATTTGTGTCAAGTTTTTGGCCTAATCAAATTCATATAAAAAATACGTATAAACAAGGATTAGGGTGAACCAATAATGCACATTAGTTTAGGTGCTTACTCACTGACTACATTCTTTCGAAGTGAACCTGTCCTGTAAATTAATGTATAATGTTTTGCATGGCCGATTTATAAAAACACGCCAGGAGCTGCTACTAATACAACCATAGACAAAACAAAGGTTTACTGCAGTGAAGAACGGATGAGCAAGAAGAAACTGATTCCCAAATCTGTGTTGGGAAAATAGCATTTACAGTTTTACACAAGACATCTAATTATGTATGCAAAACCTTACAATGAGCCAAACACGCATACACTTGTCAGATCCTAATATATGCACTGTGATGAAAAAGCTTGAAACCGCAAAGATAGACCTAACAATTAGCAATGTAAAAATTAGAAAGCATGAAACCAAATTAGGCTTTTACACACCATGTCACATCTGAGCAAAAGCACCAAGGCAAGAAATTAGGGTTTACTTGTGAATGTAAGAGATATTATTACTTCAATCTTCAAAACATGAGCAGTTGCAGTTGGAAGATCTGTCAAAACCAAATTATTTCTCAAACACTCTCTTTCTTCTCTTCAGATGCGACGGCCACTGAGTTTCTTGTATCTAGTAGTTCAAGAAGGCCCTTCTTCCCTGGCTTTGATGAAGAGTCAGATGGTAGAATTCCTTTCTTGATATCCTCACAGATGCTAGCAACCTGTTGTGTATCAAACATACATAGACATGCTATGCTGACTTGACAGAGATTTTTTCAGCAATGGTTGTGATAAAGGATGAAATGCTGAATACTTACAGTCTCTTCAGCACAGTAAAGATTGGTACCGATGATTCCAGTTGCTCCTCTTTTCAACCAACCACATACATATAAACCCTTCTCAACCTCTGTAAGATATGTAGAATCACTTAGGACACGGCCTCTAATGTTTGGAACTATGCCTGTGTAAGAAACCAAGAAAAGAATCACTAGCCCTCAAGTTCTTCATCCAAGCTTTTGAATTTAAAACTAAAACTACAAGGAAAATAAACAAATTTCGAATAACATGCATGATACTAAGTATTATACGATAGTATATATTTGCTGCCAGACTGCACTTGTTTTACATAATACATACCATTCTTGTGATCGAAAGGTAAGCCATCTACACATACTGACTTATTACCAATGCTTTTCAAAACCAGCCTGCAAGCAGTTTCAAAGGCATCAAGAAGTATCATAGCCACACCAGTACAAATATAGAAGAGCAACCCTCCTAGGCATCATCTTTCTACATATAAAGCCAAAACAAGGTTTTACCCGCATCTAATGTCCTCAAACTGTCCTGTACCAACTGCAATCTGTTTTCCAGATCCAACATCTTCAGAAAATGTACAATAAAAAACAAATTATCACATCCTATTCTTTTAGTTATGTATAAGAAAAATCCATAAATAGGACTATAACATAACACAAATCTTTAAATATGACCATCACAGTCATATGCTGAAAATAGGAGCCGTTAACTTCTAAAAGAAGAATTATTAACTACTTCTATTCCTTTTTTAGGACTGGACAACGCCTATTTTCAGCACAAAGCAGGGATAGTCTTATTTGTATCCCTGCTTTGTGTTCTTAAATGCAACTAATGAGTTAGTTTAGGTTACAACATAATTACATAGAATGAGAAGATGTCACAAAAAGTGAACTAAAAAAATTAAATGAAATGAAAATGCAATTATTTTAGAAGTATGCATTTCTTCCCCAATGTAAACTTCGATAAGAAAAATGGCCGTCTACCTCTAAGAGTTGTTCGCTCAAAGTGCACCCCAGCCACATGACCAGACCTAGCATCTGATTCTAAAAACCTATCTGGTTTTCGAAAGAAAACAAAGTGCAGTTCACGTTGCCCAGGAGAAGGGAATAAAGGTGTAGGAGTAGCTTCCTGAGACAACAACTCATGAACTCTCCTATTGATCCGATTATTCTTGAGTACATCCTGCTTTGTGCAGCAAATTGAACAGGCAAACAATTTGTAAGTATTGCAAATGTATGGAATGTCAAGATGCCAATGCAACTATTGGTCAAGGAATCAAATTTTCAGTAATATAGATCATGTAAATTGAACTAGAAGGAAGCAAACCTCATCAGCAGGAGTTTTATGCAGGTCTGCTCTGTCAATGTGAATGAACAAATTCTTGATACCTAATGCAATACAAGGATTCAGCTTATGCAATGATAAGGATGTTTTTAATTGGACTGAAATTTTATAGTATGGTCTCATAGATGTCTGTTTTAGATGTATTTTATAACTGCCAAAGTCTGGTTTGGTCTGATTTGGTCTGTTTAAGTCTGGTCTGAAACTGAAACCAGTCCAATTAAAAACACCCTAAGAACTTCCGGCAATTCTTTTTTCCTTAAAATAATACTCAAATTATTACAAGGAAAAGATCAGAACACATGTTAGTGGTAGTCGAATATGGACAGCTTGGTGTTAGGGGTCTTTATTTTCAACTTAATGGACTTAATGGGAATAGCGACTTAATTGTTCAGCCATTAAGTCGTGTATACTTGTGACTTAATTGAAAACATGACTTAATCATTCAGTCAAAAAACTGACTTAATCATTAAGCTAGAAAATAACAGTCCTTTCCATTAAGACGCCTATTAAAATGTCTTTTCAGTCAATTTTTTTAAATTGATTATGGAATTGATTTATGTTAATAAATGAAATTTGTCATTGACATTATAATCCAAGAATAATACTAAATTGATTATCTTAGTCAACTCACACGGTTTATTCAGCACACAAAACAAACAACCTCATATACAAATACTTCTTAATCCAGACAAACATCTTAATCCAAACTGAAAAGTCAGGACTTAATAGGAAAAAAAAAAAGTAAATAGCCCCTTAGTCTACTACATCCAATATTTTACTAGACCGAATTAGGGATGACTCCGCATGTAAAACATGAAGCACCCAAAGAATAAAATTATGATTACTGAGAAATACCAACCAAGAGTTTCACGCAACTCCTTCGCAGTGAAAGATGCTTGCACCGGTCCACGTCTGCCAACAACATAAACTTTTCTGCAAGAAATATAATCAGCCATACACTATTTTACAGAAATGCAATTGATTTTCTGATCACATAATCCGTTACAAAAAGGACCTTATAGAACTCTCTTCTAGAGCAGCCAAGGCATGGGAGGCAATATCAGTTTTTGCCAACTCTGCTGTTGGTCGCAAAAGCATACGGGCCATATCAAGAGCAACATTTCCCTGGACATGCCAACAAAATGTTTAATCAGAACCACGCAAATAAAATAAAAAATTAAACAGAAGAATATTACACTCATACCCCACATTTTCTTCAAATATATGGGTATATAAGCGTGCAAAAAGTTATACAAAAGAGAGCTAGATCATTTTGTTAACATTGGCAAATCAGTAAGACCTCTTGATGAAAGAAACACCCAAGTTTTCTCACGTGCGATTTCTATGAAAAATCTAACTATATTACAATCATAACATTAATTGACAAAGGTCAGGTTCTGATTCAAAGCGATGGGCACAGCTTTAGTATAAGATGAAGAATAAAGTATTTGAATAGCTAAATTTAAGGTGTTGACTCAGTTCAAGCATCAAGAGTCATTTGGTCAACCCTAAACCTTCAAAATTAGCTTGTTTTGACTACTTCTAATCCTTGAAGGTAGACACACATGAAAATGAAGTACCTGACCAACAATAACAGCTGTATCAGTGTTCTTCAAATCTGGAGCCAAGTATCTGCAGTCAGGATGCCCATTATACCACCAGACAAACTCTCTAGCAGGATATATCCCTGACAAATCCTGCACGCCATATACAAGAATAACAGAAATCATCATTTTCTTGACCAAATAGCAGAACATAAAAGCAGCTCATCAAATGCTGCACATGGAAATGATAGTAGAACTGTAGAAGTATGTCAATATTATGATTTATGAGGTATACTTCACCAGGAATGCCAAGATCTCGGTCGCCTTCAGCACCATAGCAAAGCACTACCTACAAAACAACGAATGCATTGAAAATTGTAAATAAGAAAATAAGAAGTGAGAACATTGAAGAGGCCACTAAAAACTGATGCCCTCAGACAGAATTAGTACATAAGTACGTTACCACATCATATAGATCACGCAGCTCAGTCAAGGATATCAACGACCCAAGAGAGACATTTCCAAAGAATGAGCAGCGTTCATCTTGAAGTATCCGAGAAAATTGGTTTATCACATTCTGTTCTTGTGAAGTAAGCATATTAAGAGAACTATCTCAAAAAAATAACACTAATCAAAATAACAACAGCAGCAAGACCATCATCATCAACAACAATAATACAAATAATGTTTAACATAATAAAATAAGCCGTAACTACCCATGCCCCTCCTTAAATGAAAAAAAAGACACGATATTGAAGTCACAAATTAATGTAATATGCAAGAAGCAAAGCTTGCAGCAGCTTTGGCTCGACGTTGTGGATTCTTGTCATATAATAAATTCTGACCAGTGCTGAAAGCCTGAAGCAGTAATTTTACGGGGGGAATATGTCCGAGTGTCTGACTCCTCTATGGTGATGCTCCCAATTGAACGGATTTTAAATGTGGAGAACATGCTGAATCATAGTAAAGAATGACAATGAACGTCACTCCAATGTAGGTAACTTTAAAATGGTTAATATTTAAAACTTTTAGAGAAAATAGTCAAATAAGCCCTCTAGGTCTCGAACTAATAGCAATTTTGGAATTGAGCCTCTGAATCATATACCATTACAAATAAACCACTCAACCAATTGAGAAAAAGCAATTGAGCCTTTTTACCTATTTGGTGCCGGTAACATCCCAGTTCCCACTAGGAAATAACCAGATGACACTTCCTTACCAGCACACAATGGGTAAAAAGGTCTAAATTGTTGTTTTTCAATGGGTGAAGTTGTGTATTTCTTAAGGTCATCTGATTCAAAACCCAATTGTTAAATTGCCACTAAGTCGAGAGCTTATTTGACAATTGACCATTTTCTCTAACTTTAAATAAAACGGTAGTACATATTATGAGGATTAGTCACATTCCATCTTGTTCAATTGTAGAGATCAATTCTACAATATTAATCTAGTAATAAGACACAAGTACATAACTAGAGATTATCACAACTCCTCATTGTCTCATGATATTTTCCGTGCAATGGAACAATCTATGATGATAAGGGATGTGGGATTTCATCTCATTTATGCAAAAAGATTGCAACTTAAGTGGTTAATGTAGGTCAAAGGCCGAGTAGTGAATAGTATCGACTACTCAGAAGCACTCGATGATTGCTCGTTACTCTACACAATGATGATGATGCTTAGTGTATTTTTAAGGAGTGATACACAAGATAGCTTAAATACATAGAATCCTAGTACTCAATTCATCTTCCCTTCTCCCAAAAATATGGATTGTGCTATTTAAACACATCTTTAAGCTAAAACTCAGCATTCAATATTCACGAGGTCTGCTAGCTATACATACATATCACTCATATTCAGCTCACAACTAGTTTACTCAAAGACAACAAAGATCAAGAAGATGAAAGGTGAGAAGTACATGATTAAATACTTCATTTGACATTGCTTTTACAGTCCATGACTATTACATTAAAGTTGGACAAGCCTGGGACCCGGTTTGAAAATAATTGAAACAATGAATACTGACCCATTTTACAAACATCAAATTTCAAGCATGTAAGATACGTAAAAAAGGATAAAAGGGCAGCCCGGTGGCATTGGCGTCCCCGCAAGGCGAGGGTCCTGGGATGGTCCCACCACAAGGGTGTAAGATAAGAAAACTTACAAAAAAGGTACCAATTCAAATAAACAACAAAAGAAGTCCAACTATTATCATCACAAAATAAATTTTTATTTTAGGTAATTAGGTATTAAAATAAAAAGGCTAAAGGGTCAAATAAGCCCTTGAACTGACTTAAAGTGTTCAATTAGCCCCTTGTATAGGAGGTTCTGCCCAGTCGTCGCTAATTGGGAAGGTTCCCGGTGGAAGTTTTTTATGAAATTTTTTTAGCATCTTCTTCATTAAGTCTAGTTTACTCATACCAAATTTCAGCTAAAAAATCAACCGGGAAGGCATTCAAATGATTTTCCGAAATGTACTGCGCTGTTTAACTTCGCAGTTATCTTCAAAAAATCATTTGACTGGCTTCCCGGTTGAATTTTTAGCTGAAATGTGGTATGAGTGAACTAGACTTAATGAAGAAGATGATCAAAAAAATTTTATCAAAAAGTTCCACCGGGAACCGCCCCAATTGGCGACGACCGGGCAGAACCTCCTATATAAGGGGCTAATTGAACACTTTAAGTCCGTTCAAGGGCCTATTTGACTCTTTACCCAAATAAAAATTTGAGGTAACCTTTTTCTGTTGTAAAATGTGTACAAGGACACACAAATTTAATTTACCAGCAGTGTCCAACACATATCTCAGGCTCTTGCCCTCATAAATGTGTATATCACAAACCCACAAGTGGAAGATTAAGAGAGGATAAAAACAGACCTTGGTTTCAGGATGATCTGGAGCAACACCATATTGGACTAACCCAAATGGCGTCGGTAACCGATCGAGTATATTGACTTCAGCTCTTTCATGTGCTTTAAGAATCTAATTTTGCAAACCAAATAGACTAATGAACAGAGAGAAATACAAAAAATGGATTTTTAATAAAAATTTAAATTATTAGAGAAATATAATTCACCCAAAAATTAAAATGTGATAGCAAATCTAATTAAAGAAAGTACCTTATCGGCAGTGTAAAATCCAGCAGGCCCACTACCAACAATACAGACTTGTAGTGATCTTGAAGAAAGTGTAGTGAGGCTACGAGTAAGGTGATGCAGCATTCTTGGAAAGGCCATTCCAGTTACTGATCAGAGCTTTTCAGTGTATCTTACCACCGCTAATAATGCAATTTTCTTCGCTAATTTCCCGTAAAGAGTGACTGAAGAAGCATAAACAGAAATAAGGGTATAAGCTGTCCAGTAAAGAAGTGCCTGTGAAATGTTAATTATTTGCTTAAATTTTTAATCGTTAGTTGTTTCCAATCAAAGGTATAGTCAAGTTGTGCAGACTGCAAAGAACTAATCATTTAGTACAAAACATTAACCATACTCAAACTATAGCCATAACGATAGATGTATAGCTATTCTGTTGTTGAGAGTAACAAAATTCAACCTTTGAAATTTATACCCAGCCGCAGCCAAAAGACGTACACGTATATCTCTAGCCTGGCAGGAATGATTTAAACAGAAAACCGTTGACACTGACATGGGCTGTTGATTTGTCAATAATGGGTTAACATAACCATTGAGTTCAACATATATCTTTTAAGCACTAACAATAATCAAGTCACTCGAACAATAAAATTCAAAAGTTAACACATTCATCATCCAAATGTCAGTCTTCATTACCCCAAAATACACATTCAATCTATAAAAATAAACTCATCTAAGTTTAAAACATGCACAGAAGAGAAAAGTAGAGAGATAGTAGATACAATAATCTCATGGCTTCTAAATGGTCACTAACACTGATAAACTCGTGAGTTATGGAAGCCTACACATTAGTGCTTTAACTCATTCAAAGATTCATTTATCATTCATAGATTGTTTAAAATACGAAATTGAAAATAGAAATCTGATTTAGTAGCACACCATTTTCAGCTTGATGCACTACCCTAATCACGATGACAATGAAATCAGCATTGTATGGGGTCTTAAGCCAGTTGACAGCAGATATATAGTACATGTCTTTTAAAGACAATGTACCTTGAGAATTAAAACAACTCAGAAATTGTAAAGTGAAATCAACTTTCAACGTCCAATGGACTGTTAGGAATTGGGCCTAATGGACTGTTAGGAATTGGGCCTAATAAACCAAGGTCTGTTTTTATATGTTGGAGCTTGGTGGGACTGACATGGTGCTAGGATTGGAATGGTTGACTGATCTAGGTGTTATGGAAGTTAATTTCCAAAACCAGATCATAAAATGGAAGAAACAAGGGCTGAATCATGTTATTCAAGGTGATAGGTATTGGTTGTACTGTGAGGGACAAATCACAAAGCAGAAGCAAGAACAGATAATTGAAGGCAGAAGGAACGAGCTTATAAAGGAGTACCCTGAAGTTTTCAAGTCAATTCTGGATAAAATTTCATGGCAGTTGTGTAATTCTGCTGTGAAATACATAGGAAATAAGATGGAATCAGCCAAGCTAAGGGTCCAGAAATCATGCCAGTATTGGAAAGGAAGAAGTGCTAGGATGAAAGAAAAGATAAAGATTGGGGCTGTGTCCTATCACCCACCTTGAGGGCAAGGTGGATGTTTACGGGGGGAGTATTGTTAGGGATTGGGCCTAATGGACTGTTAGGAATTGGGCCTAATAAACCAAGAATAATAATAAGTGTAATAGTTAGTATAAATAGACTAAACTGGGGAGAAGTCGGGTAGGCTGTTTAGACGTTTAGTTTGGGACTTGGGAAGATCGAGAACTGTCTCTTTCTTTGGGGGCTTCGGCTCATTGGGGGCTTCGGCCATAGTTTCTTGTACTGTTCATCTTCCTTAATAAGAATTTCCGATTGTTTCTTGATAGTAATTTCCTGTAATTGCTGTATTTTCTGGAGGATCCTATCATGAAAACATGAAAGTCAACTATGAAAGAAGTTCAATATCCTGAGTCATACATTTCCAAAAATACTAATATTGGTTTCGATAAGTACAAACAGTTTAAATGGTTATTTTAGACGGTTGATGCAGGGGCAGATCTAGCATTTCAATTCTGTGTGGGCCAAAAATGTGATACATAATTACATACATAAAATAACGTCAATTAGTTCATCTTTAATAGGTGTTAAAAGCTTCTTTTACATAAAATAACGTCAATTAGCTCCATTATTTCATCTTTAACGTCAATTAATTTTAGTATCTCTTAAAAGCTACCTTCATTAGCTTCTTCAACTAAACAACTGATTTTAAATTTTGTTGCGCAACAGCTTCAAAGCTTGGAGTTCCTGTATGAGAAATAAGCCTACAATAATACTTGTAGTTACAATAAACTGTTGCTTTTTACATCATAAAAGTAATGCCTCACCACATCAAATTTAGTGATTAAAACACAAAAATAAATACAATATGTGCACATCACCTTAGCCTATGTACACTTATACTACAATATGAGGTTGTTTGGTAACACTGAAATTGGTTGACTCAGCTGATTCTTCTGAAATTTATTAAGTTATGGCTAAAGTGGCTGTATTGGCTGATTCTGCTGAAATTTATTAAGAGCCCATTCGGTAGCACGAAAATCAGCAATTTTGGCAGATTCTGCTGAAATTTATGAAGTTCTGGCTGAAGTGGCTGCATTGGTTGATTCCGTTGATATAAGAAAAAATTATTTTTAAAATATATTTTATTAATAAAATAAAGAAAACATTGCATGTAAAAATAGCTAAAATGGTCATCTACAGTAACTTCAGCCAATACAGCCAGAAAAGTATCTCCAACCTTACTTTTTCTCTTATTACACAATCGAGCGTGCGAAAGCAAAATTTACGTGTTTGGTGAAAAAGTTGGCTAATAAGCCTGATAATCCAAAAAACACGTTTGCCAAACGGGCGTTCTAGCTAAAGTGGCTGTATTGGCTGATTTATAAATAAAAAAATTAACACATTTTTATTGATAAAATAAAGAAAAATTATATGAAAAAATAGCTTAAATGGTATGATAATTTGTATGAATGTAATACAAGAAGAAATAAAACATAAATAAAGATGACAATGGTGATGAATTACTGATAATGTATGTCACAATACAAGTTACTAATAAACTATTAATTGTAAACCCAAAATAATACTTATAAAGTATTAATGATTAGTGTAAAGTGTAAACAACTGCAAACTTAACAACCTAATATCATAATTAAACCAATTTGTTAAATATAATTAGTTTAATTACTTAAATAAATAAATAACAACCTAATAATTCGTTAAATTAGATTATAAATTATTGAGGCCTAAAAAATAACTAGAACAAGCAACTCAATAAATAATCAAAACAAGCAGTTTAAAAAAAAAAAAAAACTAAAACAAGCCACTGCAAGTAACATTCAAGAAGTTTAACAATACATGAGAAATTTAATAAAATAACACTAGGTATTTTATATGCTTAAAAGAGAAAAGTTCACCTGGTTCAGCGAGCCTGAGAGCGCCGAGCAGAATCACCTATTCAACAGGCTGGAGGGGCGGCCGCGAGGCGCGGTGGAGTCTTCAGGTAACCCTCCTGGACTTATTCCAACCGTTGTGGCGTCCTTCCTTTGTCCCTGCAGAGCAAATTGCCGATTGGGGGAATGTGGATTGGTGTCGATTGATTAGTTAATGAATTTCCTTGGGCTGCTGCAAATTAATATTTTGGGAGTGGGCAATTGGACGGCCGAAATCCAGACTGCTTCTACAGTTCTACTCTTCTCTAGCTTTCTTGCACAGGAGCTGCCTAATTATACTCCGTACTATTTTAAGGGGCCTGTGCCATTGGTCTGGGTGCCCCTGCTGTGGGCCGGTCCTGCCCGTCGGATTCTTCTACGCGCTGCAGCCTGCTCCGGCAATCGGAGATGACGTCCGGCGGTCCGGCGACCGTGGTGCCTCGGAGATGAAGAAGAGACGGCAACGTGATTGAAGAACGACTTCTTCTAATTCATTCTTGGAATAAATTCATGGGTCTACTTATTTGATTTTAACCATGGGTAAAACTATCAAATAAGTTCTCTAACTTTCATAAAAAGGTGAAATAAGTCCTTATATAGGAGGCTCTCCGGTTGTCGCGATTTGGGACGGTTCCCTAAGGAATGTTTTGATGAAATTTTTTGAATATCTTATTCATCAAGCCTAGTTTACTCATACCAAATTTCAGCTAAAACTTCAATCGGGAACGCATTCAAATTAATTCTTAAAGATAACTGCGCATTTAAATGAGCAGTTATCTTTAAGAATTAATTTGAATGCGTTCCCGATTGAAGTTTTAGCTGAAATTTGGTATGAGTAAGCTAGACTTGATCAATAAGATGCTCAAAAATTTTAATCAAAAAATTTTCATCGGGAACCGCCCCAAATCGCGACGGTCGGAAAAAGTCTCCTATATAAGGACTTATTTGACCTTTTTATGAAAGTTCGATGACCTATTTGACAATTTTCCCTTAACCATTTTATAATTCCTTCATTTTTTTAATTGCAAAACTGAGATTTTTGCGCCATTCACATAACTTATTCGACTATGATTTTCTAATAATATACTCCATATATAATCGAATTATTATGTATAGTGTTATTAAATTTTTATTAATGTAAATTTCCAAAATATTAACTTTTTAATGTTTACTGATTTTTTTTTTGGAAGAAGGGACAAAGATAAAAGGACCACTCCCGACCGCCAGCTCTCGAATCAGATTTAGAGTCGATCACCTTCCAAAAAGCAATATGATTTGATGAACTTGTAATGGGCACAACAGAGCTAAAGACGATCAAAACAGACATTTCATCACTCAATCCTAATTCAAGAGTCTGACAAAACAAAAAATAGAACGTGAGAATAAATATAGTCTAACCAAATTTAAGGAAAAAAATAAAAACAAAAATAACGTTATTAAAACTGAGTTGCATCTCCATAACCACACGTGGCTCTCGCTATCCTTCCTTGCCATAAAGCTTAGCTTTCATAGAACTTTTGACGGCCCCAAATTACTTTCTGGCACGAAGGTGTTTCCGGAGGAGGACGAGCTGTTGGAACATGAGTGAAGGCTCCGCGGTTTTTCTTGTTTTCTCGTGATAGGTTTCGGCCGACGATGATGAAGCTTTGCTCGTCCGCGATGCTAACAGGGGGCGAGTCCAAGGAGATAGCGGCGTCCATGGCAGATTTCATGCAATCATGGAAAGGCTTGGATCTTGAGGAGGAGATGGAGGGCAAGGAGCGGCCGGAAAATTGTGAAGAGCTCATCGAGGGGGAAGACAGAACGATAGGGGATCTCCTACGGGCGAAAGAAGACAAAGAGATGTTGATTCGTCCCCCACTCCCCCTCCTGAACCGCCGCCAAGAAGGAATTGTGCGACTAGGGTTTGGACGGCTATATCTATTTTTGCTTTAATTTGTTTGTGTTTTTACTTCGAACCTCGTGTTGTTTTGTTTGTCACATACGCTTATTTATGCCAGACTTTTACATTAGGTAGGGGTGATGAAGTTTTTGTTCTGGCCACGTTTTGCTCATTTAGACCCATTATTGAATCAACGAATCATATTGTTCTGTTGAGGGTGATTGGTTCCCAAGCTGGTTCGAGGGTCAGTGGCTGGAAGTGTTTCTTTATCTCCTTTTTCCCCTTGCTGAATGTTTTATTATCAATATAAGCCACCTTGATGCAAAAAAAAAATATACAATACGGACTATGGAGTATGATATAATATATTACTACCTCCACTTCATTTAAAGGTTTTAATTGAAAAAAAGCATGATTATTTAAACAATAATTAAATAAGATAATTGGAGTATATTTTGAAAAATAGTTTTAATGGTTGTATAATAAAATGAGGTCATTGATGACATTTATAAATGCAGTATTTTAATATTTGCTGACTAAATTATCTTTTAAGAGTGTAAATTGTTTCCTAAAATAAAATGAGAACATTTATATGACACATCCAAAATGATAAGTTTAGAATAAGACGGAGGGGGTACTACGTATATGTTTTGTAGTATAAAGATGTTTTTTAATTGGGTTGTTTTCAGTCCCAAACTAGACCAAATCAGACCGAACCAGATCAGACCAAAATTGCATAGTTATAACTTATAAAGTACACATAGACCAGACATTTACCAAGTTAGTTTAGACCAGACCAGGCCAAACTAGAAAGTTTCAGTTCAATCAAAAACATCCTAATTGGTTCTTCATGACACTTGAGATTGATACGGTTTTGGGATGATTTTGAGATGATTCTTAATGAAGAACCAAAAGTTTGCCCTATGATATAGATATAAAAAAAAATATGATATGTTAGGGTATTATCTTCTTTTGGTTTTTTCAATTATTTTTACAGATCAGAATGATCCTTCGATATGGGATGAAATATCCAAATCCACCCCATCCCTCATTCTAAGTTAGGAAGGTAAAACAAATTAAATTTACTTATAAAGTACTATAGTGTAAACTGTAAAAAAAATGTAAACTAATACAATAATAGCAACCTGATTACTAATAATAAAAATTTATTAAATTCAATAATAAGTTATCCCATCCTTGGAACCTAAGCTAATAAGCAATAATGTAATCACATTAATACTCCTATATCCCTTTTTATTTAGCCTCATTTGACTTTTCAAGTCAATGGTGTCTAACTTTTACCGATTAGATATTTATACACATAAGTATCGATAATATGAAAATGATATGAAAATATTCTTTGTCAAAATAATGATATCATTTATATAAGTTCGAGGGCCTATCTGACATTTTTCCCTTAAATCTTACATTAATATACTACGTATTAGTTAAATTGATCTTTACAACCTCATCATATCGATTACTTATGGGGTTTGATATGTTACTTTAGGTATGTTTTATTTAATTAGTATTTAAGTTTATTTTCATATTAATATTTTGAAGAATAGAATGATTCGCTTTTAGAGCATGTTTGGTAGACATAAGTCTCTGCCTTCTAGCTTTTGTACTGTTTAAAAAGCCTCTAAAAGCTTCTAGTTGTTTGTTTGGTGGCATGACAACTTTTAAAAACTTTTCAAACATTAAAAGATCTTTATGAGATGCTATAGGGAGTAACATATGAGAAAAGTCCGTGACTTTTAGTATTAATTCGTCCTAACAACTTGTATACCAAACAGAACTAAATCAAACAGTCAGCTTTTTATCAAACAACTACCACATTTTCCTTTTAATATCTTTTATCATTAAAAGCTAACCGTTATTAAAAAGCTCACAAAAGTATCTTTTCAGCTACTTGTGTCAAACATACCCTTAAACGTACCAATTAGATGAACTTAGGAACCGATAGAATAAATGATACTGAGTAAATCATAATGAAAACAAATATTTACAACTGACCAAGATGAAGCAAAGTAGAACCAACAACCAAGTGAACCATATATGCAAAATCATTTAGGCAAAACACTATACTAGTAGAGTACTTGCTGCAGTAATAAACTGCATAGTAATAGCAAGTACAAGTAATTTTACAGACATGGAACATTAACGTACCCTTTGAGATGCCCATAAAAGAGCTAGTACAACTACTCCTGCATTCCTTTGTTTATTACAATAAACCAATTAAGTTTTAGTCATATTAAGACAAGACCTCAAGAACAATCTCAAGGAACTCTTCATGGGCAGTGAGCTGTGGAAAATGACCTTGGCCATTGACAATCTCAATGGTGGATTCACCTTTGATCTTATTGTGCATGAAAGTGGCGACTGATGTGGGAACGACGAAGTCACGCTTGCCATGGATTAAGGTACAAGGAGTAATCACCTTCTCAAGAACACTCCTATAATCACTCAAGAACACAGTTTTTGCCAACGGAGACCCGATCTCTACCCCCATCCTCTTCAAACATTTTGCGAATTTTTGGACCGAGAGAGGGTCAATCGGGTCGACACCCACGGCCGCAAAGCTCGAGCTCCATTCGTCGTAGTTCTCTTCTATGTTGATCAAAATTTGTTGAACCTCTAGTCTTTCAAACCCCCCTTCGTAATCTTCATGGTTTATATACCTGTCCAAAATTCCATGTTTTCCTATTATATAATGACCATCACTCTATTAATGATTTTTAAATATGCATTATAATGTCTAAAAGTATGGTCATCGCCATTCTGCTAAGAGCTTCTCCAATGGTAAAATGTGCATGGTACACACGTGGCATGAGAAATAGCCACATAAATATTAATAAATAAATTCTTTCTCTCCTTATTTGAATGATTTTATACAGTTTTGATAAGTTTTTCTCCACACTATCAAGGAGACCGTCTAGATGTTCACATTGTTGTTGACATTGCAGGGAAAAACTTACCAAAATTGTATAAAATCATTCAAATAAGGAGAAAAATATTTTATTTGCTAATATTTATGTGGCTATCACTCATGCCACATATGCAACGTGGACATTATAGCATTGGAGATGCTCTAAATGGTTGTACACTTGTACTCATAAAATCGTCACAAGGAAATTGTTTATTTTTATCAATTTCCATTTTAGGTAAAAATAAGAGCCCGTAGACAACAAAGTGGTTGATTGACTTTTATGGTGTCAAAACAAAGCTTTTCTTTCTTTGAATTCTTTCTTAGGACTTAGTAGACTAGACGACCATACACACATTCATGTCTATACCTTTTTTTTTTATTACGTAGAGTAGTATTGTTTTCTTCACATACGACTAAACGACTAATTAAGAAAACAACCATTCTTGGTGTACACGTTTTTGTACCCATCAGTACACGCATGTGTCTGTGAGAGTTTTTTTTTTGTCTGTGAAGCGCGGTCCACAGACATAAGTCGGCTTGTTTTGTCTGTGAAAAATTTCACAGACAAAACAAATTAGCTTTTGTCTGTGGACCGCGCTTCACAGACAAAAAAAACTCTCACAGACACATGCGTGTACTGATGGGTACAAAAATGTGTACAAAAGGAATTTTTGTTAAGAAAAATACTCCGAAAAGTAATGGCCAGCGGGCAGCTTGACTGCCTGACCCAGTTCAGTTGGGCCCAGCTCCGTAGAACTTGGATCACGCCCCCTTGACGTTAGACTTGGACCGGTCCTAACCCACTCCCCAATTGTCTTGGCTATACATCAACTTTTGTATACTCTAGAAGAGATTTTTTGTTGAACTTTTAATCTATTATAATATACGGAGTATGTTCTACTTAAATGATAATATTCTTTAATGATATGAGTTTTGACCATGTGATCTCATCATTTGGAGTATCATAATATTTCAATTCATGGAATGTTGAGATATATGGTTATTAGATTATATGAGAGATGTTTAAAAGTAAAATTGATATGTTTAATTTAAAAATGCTCTTTAAATTTATCTATACATGCTTTCAAATTTTGGCTAAAGTTATTAAATTTAAAAAAGAAGGTTTTTCAAAAAACTCTACTTAAAAAACATTTATTTAAGAAATGGAAAACACCCAATAATGGATAAGTAATACGGAGTACAATAACTTCAAATGACTTTGCAAACAATATTGTGGCTACTGTTGACCTTTGGATATACTCATTGTGCTTTTCTTCATTACTGAAAAGGGTTAAGACATTCAGGCACCTCAATTATTTGGATTTTGTTCATGCATGTAAGTTCTTTATTACTTCTCTATTTGGAATTAAAACAATTCTTGATGTACATAAAAAAATGTGCACTTTTTACACATTCATTTTTGTGTATCGATAATATAGATAAATCTTAACTTTTTTCAAATGAATTGTCAATGTACACAAGCAAAATAGAGAATAGGGCGTATACCAAAAGTATACAAAATACAGAGTTCACCTACTTTTTTTAAGAGGGTCTGAAACACCTGTTTTTTCTCCTAATAATTAGAAGTTTCACATAGCTTAATAAGAAATGAATCTGCCAATTTTAAAGCGTGGGAGCTAGATTTTGGTATAGTAATTATATATTATACTACATATATATTATTATAGTGACTTCTACCTACTTTTGAAGAAGATGTTTTCGTAAAAAGCATATTAGAGAATTATTTTGGAATAGCTACTCCAATAAAAAATAAGACAGTTCAATAGTTTAAATAGGAAAAGTGCGCAAAAAAAAAATAGTTTAAATAGGAAAAGAAAATCATTAATTATTTATAATTAGTTGATAAAATGTGGAATTATAAACAAGAATAGTATATTGATTTATGTATTTAACTATTTTAATATTTGTTACTTATTTGCCGAATACGAATATCAAAATATTTTTAAAAAGTGCTGTTATTATTCTTTAGACTAGTAGCATAAGATAAAATAAACTTCCTCTAAATGACTAAATTCTAATAATGGTACAACCGATCATATTCATCCGCTTTAATTTGAATAAAGTCTTGTTCGATCTTGCCTGGTCTCGATTTTGACTCCAGGCATCTTAGCCTAACAATTGATTGGATGGTTAAACTAAACTTTCAGAGGTGTGATCTGGGCCATATACGAGTATTAGATTTACGGTCTGTGTTCTAAATGTCATATTGAGGCATCATATTATTAATTAGTATGAGAAAAATAATTAAAATTTCTCAAATTTTGAATGGTTGCGAGGTATGTACCCAAACTCACTTATACTGTATTACTACGTATAATA